TGGTGGAGATTTGTGAAGCGAAAGTAGATGCAGAGGGCGGGCCGAGATGCAGGGTGGCATCCAATGGTCGACTGCCGTTGATTTGGCGTGGACATGGGTCCAAGAGTGGGAATGGGGACTGCAGGGGGATAAGGGAACCGAGAAAACAACATTCGCGTCTTGTTGCAAGATGCTTTTCTGGAGCTACCTTTGCTATCGCTGTGAGTATCAAGGAACACGATAGTTAGGATCGCGAAGCTCGCCATGGCAACAAGCTAGTGATCCAGTATTCTCAGGCAGATGCCATTCTCAAATCTTGAAGAACGTTGTCATGAGTGAGTGTATAACTGTCTAACAGCAATAATAACAGGCCCTAGCTGTAAGCTCTGACCAATGATCGCGTCCGAAAGAACCCAATCGCGACCTCACGAGCCCAGGGGCATTATCAACCGCGTCAGTCGCGACTCGAGAGTGGCAGAAAGGGATGCGAACAAATACAATAAGGAACGCCGCCAAACACGCGAGACGGTCGCAGACCTGGCCGAGAATTGTTTGGGACGACCGCGGCTGGGACGGGAACGATTGGCTGAACGCGCGGGTGCGGAGCGCGGGGCGGGCGGGGCCGGTAAAGGTGGGTCCAATGCCGGGGGTGAGCTTCAGCCGCTAGTCTTAAATAGGAAGTGTGTAAACAATAGCTCCATCCGGGCATCAACAACATGCTCATCGATTATCAGGTATGAAAGGAAGGGAGTGGATTGGCATACGAGACACACGATACAGAGTTCAACGATACCTTGATCTTATTGAAGGAAGTGTTCATTCGTAATTATCCCCAGGTCTTGTTCTGGCACAGGAACATCGCGACTTTGCCTGCTTCCATGCGCATTCACCCCCTCCTCTAAACCCGTATCATCAGAGTACTCTGTGCTCAACCACCGAGGACGTCTAGCTACTTTACCATGACCAACGACGACCTGCCCATCGCGTTACGGCGCACACGCCGGAGTATGATCGCACCCGCTCATGAGCCTTCACCAGCTCCAGCACAATCCCAAACACCACGCAAAGCATCAAAACGCCGAGTCCGCTTCTCAGACCCAGGGCCATCAGGATCAACAACACCACGAACAACCCGCACCCTCTCAACAGGTCTCACTCCAATGATCAACCGCACATCTCTATCCCGCGGAGGCGTACCCACTCCATCATCATCCTCCTCACGCCGCCGTCACTCCATGCCAAACCCACCCTCCGGCGCGGCAACAGACCTGCCCCCAAGCGGCGAAGTTCACTTCCTCCCCCTCCGCCAAGTACTCTCGGGCCGCGTCCAGCGCCGTATCCGCCGCAACGGCCTCAGCGAGGAGATGAACACCATCACAGCCGAGAAGCGCGCCAGCGCAAAGCAAGCAAAAGAACAGCTCCAGACTCTCCGCGACCAACTCCGTCAAAAGGACGCGGAGATCTACGAGCTGCAGAATGCTACCATCATTCTCGACACAGAACGTATCTGGGCTCTTGAAAAGGAGGTTGATGACCTCAGGAGCCAGCTAGCGGACAGATCTTCGGCGTCAGTGAGGCAGAAGAGCTGCTTTGACTGGACGCTCGCGGCGCGGGACCCGTTCGCCGACGACTTTATGGAGACGGATACCGTCGAGGCGGAGTCGGTGTGCGGGGAGAGGGTGCAGTATGCCGATGAGACGGTGTTTGGGGAGGCGACGATGGCGGAGATGGAGTGTAGTACGCCCACGCGGGTGAGATCTTCGTTCTTGACCCCGCCGCTGACGAGCCCTGTTGCGGCTGGGCCTGCTACGCCTTCTTCGCTTCGGGGGAAGCAGAGAGTGGTGGTTTCAGCGCCGTCGGACACTGGTGTGCAAGCGAACCTCCCTGATCCTGAAAAGCAGCGGCTCGAAGAGGAGTTGGCTTCTTTGAGACTAGAGATGTCGAAGCTCACCGGCACGTTGGAGTCGTACTCTGCTCTCACCGAGCGACTATCCCAGAAGCTTTCCGCCGTTCCGCCGGAAGACACAGCGTCGGATTACTCCATCGCTACAATCGAGACGCAAATCACAAGCCTCCTACGCACGATTTCTGACCGCACCGCCGCGCTGCAGGACCTCAACGGATCTCTCTGCGCCCTAGGCTTCCCTGGCTCCGACGGCGCCGAGATCGTGACTTCCCTCTCCGCCGCGTTGCGTACCGCCCGCCTGGAGCTTGAGTACCTCACCCCAGGCGAAATAACCCTCCCCCTCTCCTCCCGCGGCGCAGAGGTCCTTGACCTTCTCCTCACGCGCCTACGCGACCTCGCGAAACGCGCAAAGGAGGACGAGGCGTCGATAGACGAGTACCACGAGCTAGAGCTCTCTCTCCGCCAACAACTCGGTGCGCGGGTCGCCGTGATGGGTGAACTCGAAAGCGAGCTCAAACGAGCGAGGGAGGGACTTGAAGAAAAGGAGGGCCGCGTGAGCGAGCTTGAAGTCAGCGTCGAGAGGCTCAAGGGCGCGGTGGCTGGCTACGTGCGTGACATCAGCGAGTTGGAAGGCGTCGTAGGCAAGACGGAGAGCGAGAACCGCGACGCCATGGCGACCAAGGACGCGCAGGTTGAGGTCGGGAGACGGGTCCTGCGCGCCAAGGAAGACGTCATAGCGAAGCTGGAGACGAAGCTTGCGGACGCGGTGGCGCAGGGCCGGTCGTTGCGGAAGAGGCTTACTGAGGCGGAGGAAGCGAGGACGAAGGAGGTTGCGGAGGTGACGAGGCGAGGTGGTGCGGCGCTGGCGGTGCGGGATGCGAGGGTCAGGGAGTTGAGGGAAGAGTTGGAGAGGGTGAATGCTGGGTTGAGGGCTGCGCACGAGGGGATCAAAGATTTGAGGGTTGAGAAGAGGGGGTTGGAGGGTGAGATGGTGAGAGAGAGGGAGGCGGCGAAGGGGGTTATTGAGGGGATGAGGGGAGAGCTGGAGAGGGTTGTTGGGATGAGCCGGGAGTTTCTGGGACCCGGGGCGGAGGATGAGGCCGGAGCGGAGGGTGCGGGGCCGGATAATGGAACTATCGGCGGGTCCGAGTCCGGGGCGAAGAGGGGCCTGCTTGCGGGAGATTTGGCGCGGCGGTCATCGGGGAGAAAGAGGAGAAAGTATGACAGCGGGCTGGGATTCTTGGAAGAGGATGAGGTTGATGCATGAAGTTAGCTGTGCGAGCTATGGATTGAGGCATCGCATGCGTGTATGGCGCTTGAGAACCACTCACACAAGATTTAGAGGAGGGCGTTTTGGCGCATGTTCCAGTCGTTTGCCGGTAGTCGCGGCGGTATTTCTTTTGTCGGTTGTAGATTTATCTTTGCTTTCGCCAGGTTTGGGTAGACAAACGGGCGGGGCGTTGGAATGTAACGGGATTCAATTTCATCTCTTAGCTCGATGCATGCGCATACACGTGGGCCACTTTCGCTGAACACAGCTTTAAGCTTGCTTTAGCCTGGCAACAATTCAAGCTGACTCGAATGGAATAATTGTTACTGAATGTTAAGGGGTGCCGTTACGCTTCTTTATCGACTTTAGGTCATATCACGTTGCTCAATTGAGGGCATATAGTCATAGATGTCTTATCGTCTACTAAGGTACTAGGCATCTCTTCATTATCACCTTGATTACCTTACTTCAGAAGATCTATTACTCCGATGAACGCTTTAAATGCAGCTAAGAGTGACTGACGTGATTCAATATCTTTGCTATCCGCATTCATTCTCATGAACAGGCCGCATCCGCATCATTCCACAGTCAACACCAAAACCCCCCACCAACTGCCGCACCCACCCGCAACAACATCGCATTATCACATCTTCACGAGAGGTCACACAAAAACGGCCGCATGCGTGCAACACCAGCCCGCAACCCGCCAACATGTCCTACACGAATATCAAAAAACAGGCCCTCCCAGCCCCTTTTTCTTCTCGCAATCCGTACCAGTTTCCATTTCTATCAAAAGATCTAATTTCCCGACAAAATTCCTGAAATCTTTCCACGTCTTCCTCACCAGCGTACCAAAGCCATCCTCCTACCGATCGTCCAAACGCAAACCAACTCAATACCGCAGAAATGTTACCCCCCAAAGCAAAGTTCGTCCGCGAACTCGAGCGCGACAACAGCCTCACACGCAAATCCACATCCACATCCACAACCCCATCCTCCAAAATCTTCACCCACAACCTAAACTACACCTTCGCGGCCCCCTCAGTCCCGGACATGACCTACTTCGCCCGCATCCTGCACTACCAACGCTACGGCCACGACGGCCTCGCCTGCTCCGGCGTATGCTCGAGTAATTTCACGCTGCCCGTGTACGAGAAGCAGGGGTACATGTCGCCTTACCAAGTACGATACACGGAGCGCCCCGGCTCGCGGGGCTCGCTGAAGAGTGATCAGTCCTTTGATGTCGCGGGATACCGGCGGGAGCTGGCGGCTGCGGGGGTGAGGAAGAGAAAGTGGAACACGTTTTGGGCTGTTATTCTTGCGATATTGATTATTTTCTTTGGGGCGGGTGTTTTGGCGTTTGTTCTATTGTCGATTCATTTGGGATGACTGAAGCTGCGTATTAGTTTCGCGACGCAAAAATTTGGGTTTGAGGCGAGCATCTGTTATGTTTTTAGTTGAAGGTTCTCAAAAGTTTTACTCGGTGTATAGCAAGCGCTGCGTGTCTCTCTCAACAAACAGAAACTCCGATGAGTTCCCGGTCTATTAATTAGGGAGTTGGAGTTTCTGGCAGGCTTGCTTAATTGTATTAATCGATTGATTTTGCGTACGCTTGTTTTTGACATCTTTAGTGGCTCTTTGTTTGACATCTTTCAAGCCCCTACGCCCTTGCTGACTAAAAGTTTGTCGATAGTCCCTCCACCCCGCTTTTCCAAACCATCACGGCCAAGACTTCGACATCGCTCTGCGAAGGGTTCTCAGTCTAAGTGCCTATAAAGCCCAATCATTCGCTCACCTTACCTTGGATACATCAAAGCCAATCAAACCATAACATAAGACTTCAAAATGACGACCTCTGTCGGCGAAACCTCCCTTCAGACCCTCCTCTCAACCCTTACCACCGTCCTTCACCCGGAAACCTACGTCTTCGTCACCCTTCCTGCGGAAGCCCCACTACCGCCCCTCTCTGAGATTCAACTACTGTTTAGAGAGTCCGAAGGCGTCACCCTCATCACCACTCTCGATACCGCGACAGCCCATAAGTGGGATTATGCGTTCCCCTCAAAGATGATTACCCTCAACGTGCACTCGAGCCTCGAGGCTGTGGGGTTCATGGCTGTTATTGCGACGAGGTTGGCCACTAAGGGGATGGGCGTAAACCCTGTGAGCGGGTATTATCATGATCACTTATTTGTCCCTGTTGGCAGGGAGGAGGAAGCTGTGGCAGAGTTGAGGGAGCTCGCGTTAGAGTCTGGAAAGGAGATCTAGTAGCTACAAATCAAAATAATCGTTGTCGTGGTCGGCAAGAGGTCTTCGCTTCAACGCGAACACGGGCAAGCAGCGCACCCCAGCGATGTCTCTGAGTAGCTTATGTCTGAGAGAAACCTCAATGAACGCTGCAGTTAATTGTATCGGGAATACGCCTGCGACCCCTTCGTCGACAATTTAGACATCAAAGGTCTGCCACATTTTGGGGTACATACCTCAAGTCAAACGATGAACGAAGCTAAGGCTTCCAAGACAGGGGTCACAACAAGCTAATTGACAGGGTGCCAGCGCTTCAGTACGAAGTATCCTCGTTCAGCAGCTCCAGCTCTCGACACCATATTCCACTTTACCTGCGTGATCTCCTGCCGACAGTTGAAGAAACGTCTTGCAGTCTCTTGTGTCGCTCTAAGGTGACCTTTACACTGGCTGACCCCACGCTGCGGGACGACGCGCCAAGGAAACAGAGATAGGCAGCAAGGCAGTATCGGTATTGGTCCAGGCTAGGCTGTCCGAGAGAAGATTAGCTTGAACATGGGGTACTGCAGGTCTAACTCCAGAGGCGGACTATCAGCGTATCAATCCGCTCACTCTTGCCGCCGCCTTTCAGCTTGCCGCGATCATGCAGGATTCAGAAAACACGCGGGAAGATTAACCAAAGACATGCAACCTAGCAAGTCAACTAAATCATATGATAACATTGATCAAGTGCACTGGCTCCCCCACAGCTCCCGAGCAGCCAGACTTAGCTTCACTACCTAGCTCACCACCTTCTTCTCTTGATCCCGACTCTGGATCTCCTTCACTTCTGAGACCTTTCTCTTGGACATCTTATGACGATCAGCGAGATTTCGCTTTCCATACTGATCCCACATGGAGCGATCGGAGCCTAGGCTTCCAAAGTCTCGGACCAAGCAGTCTAACTCCAAACCTGCGCCATTTACAAACTTTTACACGCCTGAGAACTCAGACTTCTACGCCAAGTTCAAGTATCGACCTTTGGACAAGAAATATGAAGAAGTTCGACTTCTCGATGTTGATCTCACTGGGGGCAACAAGCACCGCATGATCCATTCGATTTCTTTAGCAAAAGCTGGGAAATATTGCGCCATCTCGTATTACTCGGGCAACCCCAAGGACACAGTGCCGGTCTGGATCGAGGGCATAAAGATGAACATATTCTCCAATCTCGCCAAAGGAATCGAGAACGCTGCCAGCTTCTGGAAGAAAGGATCACCGAACCAGCCCCTGCGACTCTGGGTCGACCAGATTTGCATCAATCAGAGCGATTTACCAGAAAAGTCGCACCAAGTCAACTTTATGCGCGAGATCTACCGGAACGCTACACATGTATACGTGTCAATGCCGGTGAAAAAGAACCTTCGTCCCGTTTTCGAATGGCTGACGGGTCTTGCGGCGGCGAGGACGACGAAGGGGTACGAGCCATCATCAAACATGCTTTACGAGAACCCGCCACCAGAGCTAAACCTCTCAGGAAGATGGAGAGATAGGGGAAATCCAGAATGGCCAGCAGATTCCTGGGAAGACATTTACCGTGTGATCAATCATTCTTGGTGGAGCCGCTCGTGGGTTTATCAGGAATTCATTGTCGCCTCGGATGTCTTCTTCCTATTCTCTGACGAGGTATCCATGTCATGGAACCAGCTCCATCCCATCCTGTCTCTTTTCATGGAACTGGACACCGTCAATGCATGCAAGGAGTCGCTGCAAAAACGGGATCAGGCTGATGACACCATGCATCGGTACAAAATCTTTGCCAGCATCAAGCCCATGAAAGACCATCTTCGCAAAGTCTTCAAGGCAGCCTGTGAGTGCTGTCCTATCTGCTTCTATGATGATCGATTCTCCCGTAAACCCTGGAACGTGTTCCGCTGTTACATCTCCTCATGCGTTTGCACAGCCCATGTACTAAAAGCTGCGGCGTACGCTGTACCTTGGACCCTCGGCTGTTGCTTTTTTCGCTACCCTTGCTGTCCCGGGTACGAGGCAAGGACGGCGCAAAAGTTGAGAAGTAGAACAAGTTTAGTAGGAATGGAACACCATGTCCAGCGACTAAGGACAACGAACGCTAGTCGAGTACTCGTCAACAGGGTAATCGAGGGTAGAGAGCTATGGGAAAGGCAAAAGCATCAGATCAACCTGTCTTATCTGCTTCAGCACGCACGAAACACCGAGACCTCACAGCCAAAAGACAAATTCTATGCCTTTGTCGGACTGGCCAACCTCGAGAACGAAGTGCCAATCCGGTACGAGCCAAGTTACAGCATCCAGGCAGTGCTCATTGACGTGGCTCGTGCGATTGTGGTGCACGAGGACGCGGGCCTCGATATCTTGGCACAAGCAGGCACGGCGGCACACCGTCGAGACCTTCCCGAAGGCAAAGATTCACTCCCGTCATGGGTTCCAGACTGGGATAAGCGGGAGGATATCGAGAGGCAAAAGTTCATCGACGCCTTGGAGCTACCGTCCGCATGCAGCGCAGGCACAAGTCAGAGCTCCAAAGCCACTCTCGACTTTTTGGAAGACAGACACGGGAATGAGATGAGAGTGCTCGTCGCTGCGGGAACCCAGGTTGATATTCTCGGAAGCGCCATCGACAGAGGCCATGACGGATTCCTACCTTGGAAGTCCTTTTCAAGCTCGGACGGCCAAAGAGTGATTACGACGACGAGTATTGCGCACTTTGGGGATGAGGTCTGGGTTCTTGACGGCATGAGCTGGCCGGTCGTTTTACGAAGAAGTTCGGCTGACAATTCCACTACGCTCCTTGCCATCGCTATGGTGCGTGAAAACGGCCAGCCTCATCAGATCATGTTCGGAGACAAGAATCTTTCAGGAGAGGCGGCTGAAGTGGTAATAGTCTAAGCACAGGGTTTCACCTCAGTCGAAAGTCGCGCAAACAAAGAAGAGGTGCATAGAGCTTAAACAACAAGGGAATTCCAACCTGACTTCATTTCCTACTATATATTTTGACATAACTCGTTGTTGTACAACTTGAGCCATGATCTCAACGACTAGCAACGAGTCTTTTTTCCCTATTGACTGCAACCCGCGTGTCAACCGCTACCCTGCTGCTAAGCTGCAAGCTTACCATCTCTCGCTTCAAGCGTGTTGAGACTCGGCCGAATTCGAGGTGTCCTCTCCGTGACTCGCCAATTCAATTCCGGTATGGCCCGCTTCTTCGGGTAACAGATATCCCAAATCTAAGAAGTACGGCGTGGGTAGCAACGAGAAATCATGTTCTTCTTGATAACCGAGACACGCCGATGGAGTTAGGGACTGCATTGACAAGCCTCCACTAGATGTTGGCAGCTCTGATGAGAGGTTGTTCGCGATGTTCGAGCCACTCATGGGCGCTTCATCAGGGTTGAAAAGACCAAGCCAGCCGGGGTCCAAGAAGTTGGTTCTTGAAGAAGAGATGTATTCGAATGTAGCCTCATAGCCTGAGCCCGTCGATGGTGGAGGACAGGGAATGATGCTTTCATTTGCCCTTGTCGTTGATGTATCTGGTTCATCGGGTTCCGTACGAGCATCAAAAGTCAAGTCCGAAGGCTTGGAACCCTCGACAGACGTATACTCGATCTTCTTCCACTCCCCGTTAACTTTGAACCAGTTTGAGGACATATACCGTTCGAAAAGAGAACGCTGGGCTTCCCTGACAATGTCCACAATTTGGCTCGTTGTTCTGTCTTTCACCAGTCCGGGATCGGAATCATCAAGTAGGCTTCGAAGACGTCGAGGCATTTCTCTATCCAAGTACTCCGTGTATCCCTCAACTGCAGAAGCCTTTACGCTCCCATAGAATTCTGGCTGTTCATGATCTGCGTCGTATGAGTTACCGTGGTGGACATTCTTGGTTGGGACGACTCACAAGGATTTGGTGTTTCCTCCGCGTCGGGGAAGAGTATCAAGTATATTTCTCTCCACTTGCCAACTTCGTCTGTCACTCTGGATCTTGTTCTAAGACGCCTCTCTTGATCTTCACTGATTAATAAATTTCGGAGAGGCGCTTCTGTAGGGTTGCACCTGTTGTCTGCTCTCAAATGTTCAATTTGATCCGTCCTGGAACCAAATGACTTGTAGCATCGAGGGCAGGTCAGCCGCGATTCTGTATGAGACCTGAAAATGTGTTGCCTTGATAAACCGTCAGCGAGATACAATACTTGTAATTTGGCCTATGCGGACTTACTTCAGGCGATGAACCGAGGTCCATCCACCTCCAGAGCATGTCCGCCATCTCGATGAGCTGATAATTTGAGGAAACGCCTTGTAATAGGGACATGCAAGTCTGAGTTCTTCGTTGTTGGAAGTCTTATGAGCATCAATCCCCAACGTTGTTGAGTCTTTGTTTGCGTTCCATGGGCTGAGCAGCATTCCATGCGCTTCATCGACTGTGAGTGCACTCGACCGCTCTGGGATTAGTTCGAAGTGGGGCTGTCCAAAGACCTGCTCGTCGATGTAAGGCGAAATAGGGTGGGGAACGTCAGGAAATGTTATATCCCATATTTCAAACCACTGGTCTTCTCTAGTTGAACCTCTTCTGGCTGACCAACAACGCAGTGCCATTTTCTGGTCTTCAGTGATTCCTGTAGGTCTATGTTCTGAAGAGAGACGGATCACGCATGTCCCCTGCCTCACGTGATGATCACGATCCCCGTAGTTGTCAAACAATTCCATGCAGCATGGACAGTAAAATGGCTGCACGTGACGTCGTAGTAAATGCTGCTTGACGTATCTGATCTCCGAGAGTTTGGCGCTATAACACGGTCGATGGTTGTTCGGATCAAGTCTCCAGAAGGGACAGGCAAAGTGGCACTGCGTGCTCTCTCCCTTCGTCCTCTTCCCCATTGAAGCTTTGGGGTCTTCATTGTCACGGCCAGAGTCATCGTCGCTGCTCTTTAACCTCTTTCTTGGCCTTGCACTGACGGATTGAAAGGGTCTGGAACCGCTCGAGGTGACGGCTGGAGAAGGTTTCTCGGAGTTTGTTGAGACATGGCCTATGACGTGTGACTTCTGGAGAAAAACGCCAAAGTCCTTAAGACATGACAGTCCGAAGCATTGTCTTGGAAGAAATCTGCCAAGCTGTCAACACCTTGCTCAAAGTCTGCAAAGAACCGATATTGCGGGCTCGGGTTGTAACTACCTGACAAGATTTCCGAGGCTAGCAAGTCGAGCCGAGAAGTCATGTGACAAGTCCCACGCGCTTTGCTGGACGTTTCTTCCTACGTCCCTAACAAGTGTATCCACAGCCATTTGGCTGTTGTACTGGGGGTCGCCGAGCTGATAAGGTTGAGGCCGTATGTGTTGGACTTTGAATCCGCAGCTTTTACTCTGCTGCAGTCCTTGGTGTGTAGCCCTTTCAGTGATCGTGTCGGTTAGATACGTACCAGCCATATAAGATCAGATGCAGCACACAGCTGTGATGAATCAGCCAGCCTGATAGCTATGTAGGGCAATGGCTATGCTAGCAGGTTGGTCAAGGTGGAAGACTGCAATGCCCACGAGAGAGCAGACTCAGCCTCGGGAAAAGCAGGACTTTTTTGTGATCTAGAGGGGAGAAATTACGTATAGCACTTTGACGATGGGTCATCGAACAATGATCTTCGACCAAACGAAGCGTTCAAATGTTTGGAATAGTCACAACCCGATGATGACGAAAAGAGGGGAAGGAGAAGTATTGCGGAAAAAGGGCAACCATGAGAAATCAGGGACAGCCTCGGTTGGGTGCCTAATAGCGGATGATGACTGGGTGAAAAAACCGCAAACCCCAGCCAATCACAAGATTATCATTGCCTCTGCCGCATGGCTTGGCTGTAGTTTTACACTCAGCAGATGTAGAGAGATACAAGTAAGCTAGGACTGAAACATGCTACTGCTGCATGTCGTATACCAGCGAATGACAGCTCAGGAAACCATCCTACCTTCTTTACTCATACGACCATCATGTCCGTCAAACCAATAGTACCGTACCACGTATAGTCGCCCGGCTCAGTTACTCCTCGCTCCGAAGTCCTGAAAAGGGGGCGCCAGAGCTGGTGGCCTCCCTGAGAACGAATCGTCGATGATGGCGCCGGAAGGGGCTTGATGTACTTCCGCCCCAGTCCTTGATTTGTGCAGCGATGTGGTCATCTCCAATGTTTGGTCAATCGCTAACCTGAGAGAGGGGTGAAGTTGTCGGTGAGTTGGTAGGCAGCCCGTCCACAATGGTGCTAAGAGGGCAATGACGAGAGAGAAGGGGGAAGTGCAACGGAACGCCCCAGCGGGGTGACCTCGACGGGACTCAAGTGCTGTGTGCTGGGTTCGAAGTCTGGGTGTCTTTGGCTGTCCCATCTCCAACAGCTTGGTGTATGTTCCCTCGTCGTTCTCTCTTCTTCGTGTCCAGTGTTCCACGCTCCCCATATTCCATTCATCACGAAAAACAGCCAGGACGACAAAACCTGAACACATCTCCAGACGTGAACGCAAAATCGTCAGATTGTCCAAAATCAAAGATTCTAGGTGAATATTGCGTTCTCTTCTCTTCCTTGATGAAAATTCAATGCAGTGGACCGAAGCAAGAGGCAACCGAGTGGTGCCGACAGAGCGGGCTAAAGGTGTGATCCCGTAAACGCACCAGGCCACCATGCAGGATGTGAGTTGGGCAAATCCCAGACACTTAAGGCCATCGCTAGATGATAGAGATGCATCAGTAGCGCATCTCGACATAGCTATGAGGATGACGGCACGATATAGCAATGACGAAGCTGATGGTGATACACTAGTACCGTACAGCTATCAGTTCCATCGACTCGATCGCCAATAACTTTATCAAGAGGATCACTTAACACAATGTTCATCGACATCCTCAGAGACGCCAGCGCCAACTTCGCCGCATACTTCAAAGAAGTAAGAAGATGCTTCCAGCGCATATACCGTCGTGCCTATGGGCAAGATGAATCTTCGCAACAAGACGAAGAAATCCAGCAGAGGGGTCGCGCCGCCAATTCACTCATCATTCTCATTGTGGGAATTTTCACGACCAACTTCTCGATGTCTGGATCCACGGTTGCTCAGCTCGTCTTTGGCATCGTATACGGCATCGCAGTCAGTGCCCTTTACCTGCCGATGAACCGTCGAACTCGCTTGAGAACGGGCCTCGCACTTGCGGGTGTCTTGCCTGGGGCAGTATACATCTTCTCTGATGGCCTGACACTTCATATTGTATCCATGATCATCATCTCCGCTGCGGCGGGAATTGAGACCCAACGCCATTTTCGTATTCGGAGTAACGGCGGGATCGACGACTCGGTCCTACGGCCTCAGAGCTCGGTAGAATGTCTCTTGGTGACTTGGCTGGTTGTCGTTTGTGGCAACGCCAAAGAAGTCAGCCACTTTATCCAAGCTGGTGTGGTGCTTTGCTTGGACGTCCTCTCTTCGACGACCGCCACCCAGGTCTTGATGAGATTCTTCCTCCGAGTGATCTTGGTGACGATGGCTATAGCCTGCTTGGTACAGGTGAGGTTACCCCGTACGTTGGAGGCGACAGGAGTCTGACTGACCGATCCCTAAGCAATTCCTGCCTTTGTCTAGATCCATGATTCTGGATCGCCGAAGTGAGGTCGCAGATGTATCTCAAAGACAGAACGGTATGTCTACTACCGTGGCTATGTTCCTACATGCCTCTTCATTCCATGATTCTGACCGTTGAGATAGTTTGGCCCCGGGCTGAAGTCCTGACGGTGGTTGGCTTCTTTGTGACGCCGGGTATGGCTCTTTTGTACAAGGAAGTTCGGGAAGAGTTGTGCCCTAGACTGTACCGCTGGCTACTGGGTAGAGGTAGACCTCGTGAGAACGAGGAAAGGGTGTTTCCTGAGAATGACGATCTTCCAACATGGAGTGATCTTGAAGAAGCACGAGAGCTTCGAGCCGGGGTCGAGCAGTGGATGAACTGACATCGGGATGGGCGAATGGGTCCTGATAGTGGGTATGAGCGGCCACAGCCAAGGTTCGATGAGGAGTTCGGGTATACTTTACGGAAATGGCATCGTCTCGGCATTGCTGGAAAGATATCTTTTGGGATGAGTGTTCAATGGAAAAGAGTTCATAAAAGCATACTAGAAAGAGGCCGTGGAATAAGAGCAAAAGCTGGAATGGACATTTGAGAAAACATGATATGGAGCGTGGCAGATTTGTGTAAGCCATAAGAGGGCCAGTTACGCTGAGGAATTTTGAGTGTGTACTGAGAAAGATGAAGTGGAAAAGAGGGATAATAAAATTGTCAGCGTTCTGAAAATGATTAGAAACAGTTCATTAGTTCCTTATCACGCAGTCAATCGACCCACGTACAGCCAGGCATGCCATCACTTACATGGAGTCTCCTTGGAGGCCAAATGCAAAAAGATCAGACGCGGCATCGTCGAGAAGTGCGCAAACGCACAGTTGTACGCAAAGTCGCCTTGTGATTGGTTGGTCGGGGGTTATGGAACTGATGGAAGACAATGGCGTCGCGCGCTATTGCGCAAGCGCACAGTTGTGCGCCTGTAGAAAAGCGCTTCACTATTGGCGTATCGAGAGGACCTTGAGAGTGATATTACCTTAGGTAAGGCGGTCTAATAAAATGGAAGGCTGGGATCAATAGGACGATCAGGGATTACCTAGTACACTGAGGAGTATGTCTTTATGCAATTCGCGACATGTGAAATACATTTTGCGTCCAACTCGTCCGCTATCGGGTACCAAACCCAGCAGGCCTTGTCCTTATCTCCCCGTATTCAGAGGTATTCCAAAGATGATACCCTCACCTGCTGAATCACGCCAACGCCAGACGCTGTGGATTATGTAATGGTGAGGTGTAAAGGCCACCGCACCGATGGAAATGCGTATGGTGCCCCCCGAGATAAGCTGCAATGGGGTCCGAGAGCTTCTAGGTTTGGCCGGATGCCTCGTTCGGGGACTCGCGAAGCCGAAGGAACGTTCAGCGGCGAGACGAGGCCTGACCCCGAGCCGAAAATGTGGGGCAATGCCGGTCAAGACCCGGCAACGACTATTTTTGTCACGGTATGAGCCTAACCTCAGAGCTGACTGTATCGTTAGTGACTTTCAATTTTCCCAAATGCGAGATCGTGCTACTAACGACTCTGAAAGACTGATTTGGCTGCGATGATTTGTGGCATCAATACCTAGCGCATTCTCGGTCATCTGCACTAATGTCGATTGTGCTATGCGTGTGAATTCCTCATTTTGAGCTCGGTTTTAAAAGATTATACTGCATCTGAGCAGCAGAGACCTCGTGAAGAAAATGCTCCTTCGAATCCAAGTGCGGCACAACAGAACCATAATACGTGTACGGGCCATCCGGTAGCCGTATTACCGACTTTCGCAGGTCATCCCTCGCATGCATCCTCGCCGTAGCCTCCCAAGCTTTTATAATATCGTCATGAACGACAACATCGTCCTAAGTACTCTTTCAAGTAATCTCAGCAAGCCCACTGTCGACCTTGCAGCGGAATACTGACCTGCCTGTCCCGACCATTCCAAATCTCCATGAGCTCAAGCTTCGGCATTCGGCAAGCCGCCAACGCAGCCAAAACAAAGCAGCGTCTTGATCTTTGTTCGCCTCTCAATGGCTTCATCGCTGTCGCCGCTCTCTCCAAGAAATATCTCGGCAGTTAGAGTGAGCGTCTTCAGTTTCGGGAAGTTAGGTGCGTTGTTCAGGAAATCATCGGCATCAACGATAAAGCAGAGCGCCAAGTGTTCCACAAGAAGACAACTTGCACCATGGGGCTTACTAATTCTTCTACTTCAACACCTCTATAGAAGACACGCGCAAAGTAGGGGGTGCTGGATCCTCCGTGTAAGATTGCAAACTTCTTTAGCGAAGGTGGAAGGCCGTGCCGGCACATGCCACTGAGGCCTAGATGTAATCATAAACCATTAATCATCCCATGAAAACAAAAGAAGAGAGTGGCGGAGATGGCATTCGTAGAGAAGACCTCCTACCTTAAGCCAGCGTCTCTCACCTCCTACACTGCAAAGCCGCCATCTCTCAAAATGAATCTCCATTAAGCGAGAAAGACTCTTGATGATTTGATCCAAAGAATCCGGTCACTGGTTGCGTGTATTTGCCCTCCGCAGAAGAAACTTGGTAACGACTTGCACGAACGGTAACCGTACGCGACTAAGCTTGACATCGTACGAATAAAGGGCCTTGATAGCTCTGGAATGCATCGAGATACTTTGACCTTGACCCATATGGGCAATCCAGAGTAGGCTCGTGTGACTAAAGGGTTTAGTCTCATCATGCGACGCAAGAGACCCGGTCTCAAGATACTCGAATAGTGATCGACGTCGTCCTTTAGCGTATAATTGTTATATCTGATGAGCCCCGCCAGTGTATGGGGGCTTATCTAGAGCGT